TTAGGGTGTCTGAGTCGTAAGCTGAAAATTGCGTATTCATCTCCATTATGGAGTTGACATAGACACTGACTATAGTGGCGAGTTGATATTATGAGTACCAGTGGAAGTGCTGTAGGTAGTGGCGGATAATGCCGTAAAGCACATTCGAACTTCGCGATCCCATCGCTCGAACGTGTGGATCGCGAAGTCTGGATGCGTTCATAACACGCGCGTCTTCAGGTGGAATCTTGGATCAGCCTTGTCCAAGCCTTTCACCTCTCAGGGAGCGGTAATTTGCTACCATACTTCGCGAAAATAAGAACACAATGTTATACAAAGGCTGGTCAGCATGTTAAGGTCGAGTTGCATTTAAACTGCATTAATTTAAGTTTTGAATGGAAGTAGGATGTGCGCAGCAACCAGAGAGACTTATCTACGGCCAGAGCGTTATCCTTCAATTTGACAAATAGAATGAAGAAGCAGATCGCTGCTTGCTTGAATGATTCATTTTTTGTGTTGCAGTGGGGCTTGTTTTGGTTTTTAATATTCTGCATGGACCAAACTTGCGGACAGAAAATGTTGGTGCTCAGAAAAGTTCAGTGTGGGGTGGCGGTGTGTTCCAAAGCCATCTGAGTGCTAAGAGGTGGTGGCGAATGTGTATATGCAATAGCCGATCTATGCTTGCGGAACACTTTAATTAGAAATTAATTGAATTAATTCTTTCAATTAGAAACTTTTACTCGGTATTCTCTTTTACTGGTACACCCATTCATTCACATACGATTTTTTTGGGTAGATATGTTGATGATAAGCGTCGACAGAGGGTTAGAATTTGAGAAAGAAAGACTAAAGAAGCAGCAGCTGCTATATCTGGGAACTGTTCGCGCGGTTTGTCGCGATCAAACAGTTAAATATGCCTTGTACCCCGTAAATGGTATGTGTATTAAGCCCCATTGGAAAATTCATATCCATTACATTAATTCAGAACAGCGCAGAAGTGTTGCTCCCTGGCAATATTGGATTGTGTAAAAAAATTTCGGCACTG